CGGGCCGCCACAGCACTGTCGCGAAGTCGAGACGGAACTGTGCCTGGTCTGTCGCCGATGCGGCCGAGCTTATCCGCAAGAATCGACGCTGCTCGCTCACCAACGCTCCTGCTATCTTGGCAATCAACAGCGTCGCGGTGCGTTGCGCCTCGTCCAATCTCGTTACGCCTGTTCTCTGTGCGATGGAAACACCCCGACGAGAACTTACACGACGGTCACCGAATGGCGGCGTCACGCTGAAACGTTGCAGCATCGAGCTCGCCTCGAAGCGAACCAAGAACGCCAACAACAGCAACAACAGTTTGGTAACATCGGCGCGGAATCTGTGGGACAGTGTGGCGAGGAAGTGCATCCGCTCACGGACGAGATGGAGGATGTGGTGAATCAAATCACCCTGTTGGCTGCTCGCGCGGCCGCTGAGAGCACCACGGGCCAGCCACAGGCTAACGAGAGGGCGAACCAGGACAACAATAACGCTCCCGACGTCAAGAGGCAGAAACTGGTCCAAGAGGTTGCTGCTTTGGCTGGCGCGCGTTAAACGGAGCGTGTCACGCGCGAAAGAAGCGAATAACAAAGACAACGGAGAAGAATCGTCAGGCAGAGGTGCTACGACGAGATGAGCCATCGAACGTTCGCGAATCGTCCGGTTCGCAGGCCGACGATTTCTTCGGGAGGAGAAAATGAAGAGGAAAACGAGAACGAAGGAAGAAAACGGAGCTGGGAGAGAGTGTTCGATGGGTGCTCCTCTTCGACGGGGTACTCGATAACGAAAGCAAACAACGTTCCTAACTGGCTAAATAAAGGGGAGGGGGTTCCAACCAAGGCAGGAACTGTCGGTGGGGGGGAGGGGGGCTTTTTCTTCCGCTCCGGGCACCGGGGAATCCCCGGCTCCAGATACTCGCGCGTGGACGGTGGACCAATCAACGAGGATGCCGCGTAATGGACCTCTCTCTTTATTCTCGTTTTAATTTCGGGCCGCGCACGGGCCACTGTCGCGCGCGCAATCACCAATTTAACTAATATTTTTGTTACAATATATGTACACACATAGCGTGCCACCAAAGCAGCGCGCTCACCAAAGTTCCTTCGATAGAAAGAATGAAGAATGCTTCGGAGTTTTGACGGACACACGTAACGGGACGAGTGAAAACAGAGAAACGAACGACCAAAAGGATTATCGGTTTGTTGTTTGATAATTGAGAGAGACGTTTGCACGAGTCGAGAAACGAGCGATTTTCTCGATGGATCGTCGTTCTTTTCTTTTCTTTTTTGTGTCTCTTTTTTTTTTCTCTTTGCGAAGCGACATCGCCTCTATACGTGCGTTGACTTTACGCATCGGTCGCTTCGTAAGTAGGATTTTGGGGATGGAGATGGCGGCGCGGAAACCGCGAGGCGACGAAGAAGCACGTGGAGGAGAATAAATACGTGGGGGAGAGGAAAAGAATGAGCGTCGACGACGCCGGGAAGACGCGTCGAGGTGGGCTGATTTAAACGTTCCTATGTAAAGTAATAATAAAGATTTAATGAAACAAAAGAAAAAAAAAGTTACTAAAACAAGCGGACAGACGTTAAGGACGCGGCGTAGTAGGATAGATGGCGCGGCGTTCGCGAAACTAATAGCGTCGCGCTCGTTGCGAATACATACGTACATATTCATCTCTAAGAAATGAAAAAAAAAATGAATCTTCACTCTCTGTCTCTCTCTTTCTCTTTTTACGTGCGTGTGTATGGGTGGTACTGCGTAAGTAGCGTGTGTCAAGGAGGATGCGAGAATCGGATGAAGCGTTGTTCACCGACGATGACCACGAAAAAAGATGAAAGCCTTTCCTTTTAAAAGACACGAAACGGAAGGGAATCGCGAGAAGAAAGGAAGATCACCGCGTGTTCCTCTTTTCTTTTTTAATCGGCAAAAGGTGAACGCGCGATAGTACATACAGAGGCCAGAGAGGTTCACGTGTCGGAGGACGATCGGACGACCTTTTGAGGAAATCGGTGGCTGGAAGGATTTTTTCTTCGAAAAAAAAAAAAAAAAAAATGGAGAGAGAACCCACGCGCACACGTGCACACTCACACGCACTCACTCGTGACACGTATACACGTGCATACACGCATACACAAGCCTAGTAATATCCATTCTATAGTTTCGAGAAACACCCACAGGGCACGGTAACCCCGCGGCTGGGAGGGGTTCTTTTTAAGTACGATAAAACGCGTAATAAACGTCGCTACCGGCGCGCGAATTTTAAAACGTGAGTTCCGTTCATTTTTCTCTGGCCGTGAGAGCAAAACGCTCGTAAGGAGAAACGTCGAATGGAAAGAAGAGTAAAGTTTCGTGGGAGAGAAACGAGAACGACGACGCGAAACGAAACGGGGAAAAAGCAAAAAGAAGAAATGGGAAGAAAAACGCGAGAGGGCAAGTTGCCCCGGTGCCCGTCGCGATACGGTTCGCGTTCACGAACAAGCAGACCCAGAAACATGGTTCCTATATTTAATAAATTATATTTAATAACGCTAAAAAAAAACCTAACGATTAATGATTAATATTAATGATAATAATAAACATAGTAATAATAACGATAGTAATAATGGTAAATAGTTATAGCTATCGATAGCTGTAATTGATTATCGCTAGTTAATCGGTCGACGATACGATAGCAAATCGGTAAGCCGTGCCAGAGACCGCGATCGGGCGCAGTGCTGATCAAGACGTGAACTTTTTTGGTTCTTTCTCACTGGAAAGCCGGAAACGGTGGATCGCGCGGCGCGTGTGATGCTTTCGGGGTCGACCGAAGGAAAGCGCGAAGTTCGCGTACGCGCAAATCGGGTCTCCGTGGTTACGAGAGAAAAAAAGAAAAGAGAATTAAACGCAGTTGAATCGGGTGAACACGGCATAGCACTGGACACGATGGAAGAAAAAGAGAGAAAAAAAATGAATGAAAGAAAGACGTAAATAAAAGTCACCTCTCGATCGACGGACACGGGGTTTTTGTAAAGGTCTGCTCGGGAACGACAGAGAATCCACTATTAGCTCGTAAGTTAACGGTTAATTACAATTAAACTGTAGATTTTAAGGGGAATATGGGAGGATATGCATCGGTAGACGACACACAAGACACACTCATGCATAGGTATATATATATATATAAAAAAAGGTATATATATATAAATAAATGAATAAAATGAATGAACAAAAAGTATATATATATTTATGTAGAAAATTATATAAATATATATATATATTATATATAAATATATGATGTTGTAACGTACTAGAATCCTCGCGGGTAATATCCGAAACGGCCACGTGTATACGCGCGTACGTACGTCGTGTTTCTCGCGTTTTGTTTAATTTCTTAAACACGCTTACGCGCCGAAATCGAATACACATACATACACACAGACAAACAGACACACATGCACACGTACACAGAACAGGAAAAAAAGTAAGCGAATTATCAAAAAGCCTGAAAACTATCTGGGAAAATGGTGAATCGGGGATATCGCGAATGTGGGAAAAGAGCGGGGGTTGTGCCACCGTATGTGCAAGAGAGAATGTGAGAAGAACCTGTTAAGGGTCGCGCTCCGAATCTTAACCTCAAAAGCGAAAAAAATTAAAAACCGAGGAGTTAAAGCGAAGGTAAAGAGCGTACGACGAAGTAAGAAGAAAACGAATATATATATGTAGTGTAAAGAGGGTACTACCCGGCTACGTGGAAAGTAAATTAGGAAGAAGAGAGAGGGGTTGAAGGGGATGTTTATGGGGATGAAAGGCGGGCGCAAAACGCGTAGTGGTCGTTAGACGTCGAACGAGACGCAAAGTAATAACTATTTGTAAGGTAACTAAGCAACTCGAGGTTCCTGTCTGCAAAAGATGCTTTTTCTAATGTAAACGTTGATGACGACGATTATTAATATTATATTTGATTATTACCGACTATTATTATTACGATTATTATTATTATTATTATAGATTTACTATATTATATTTACATATATGTGGTCATGTATTTATTATTATCTATGTAAAAAGTTATAGCGTTGGGCTAAAACTGAAACGAATGGACACACGGTAACACGCACACATCACACACATACGACACCTGTTTAGGGACACTGTACACACACGTTTATATACACGTATTTATACACGCAAAGAGAGACACGTGTAATTATTGAATTCACACATACATATAAACACGTATACGTATACACATATGAAAATCGAAATTCCCAATTGATCGCGTTGCTCCGCGGCGATTCCCTTTTTAGTTAAATCGTAACACGGAGCATCGAAACGAATGGAGAAAAGGAAAGAGAAATGTTCGTAACCGATACCTCGCAAAATAGGACAATTGTTACTATCCGGTGATCACGGGCTAATTAAAAATCTGCGTAGATGTTAATCTGTAGATTACGAAGTAGCGAGCCCCCTCTTATTTGAAATCGTGGCTTTCACCACGTTTCGTCGATCTCGAACGCTCTCATCAAGCCTGTATATTGCAAACGACCTAACCGAACGGCTATACATACACACGATATATCACTAATCTTAGCAGACGAGACGCGAGACCTTGGAAAAAGGGCGAAACGCGTCCCCTTTTATCGCGCGTACATTCTAACGAAAGAGAATAAGAAAGCGAAAGAGGATGAAAACAGAAACGAAAAGAGGAAAAAGAATGGTATGCACTTTGGCGCACAAAAGAATCAACATCGTGTTCCTTTTAATTGTATACATACACATATGTATAGACGCGTATACATGTATACACGGAATATTTAATTTTTCTAATCGATTCGCGGCTGATACACACGCAGGAGATTTGCACGAGACGAATCGACGAACGCGCAACTTGTTTCGAGAAAAAACATGTACATCGAACATATACTCACACTGTCTACACGTACGCATATATGATACACACATATGAACATGTAGACGTAATACACACGAAACATGCGTATATACGTGGATACCACACATCGAGAATTGAAGCGAATCGAAAACATCGAGAATGGTCTCGAATCGATATAACGTTTATCGCATATACGCGCGTGGAATTCTCAAAACGCGGCAACGTACGTGCGCGTGTACGCAAAACTGGGTTTTGGCGTTTTGAGTTTCGAGTACGGGAGATTGCGTGATAGAGTAACCGAACCTCGCTACTAGCTGTTCCTAAAATCAACAATGATGAATGAGTGATAAGCGTGCGCGGATTAATTTAAGGAGTGAACTATAAGAGATGCAATTGAGTATGCGGAAACTATTATTACGTTGCGAGAAATTTTCACCGCCCCATCGCCGCCCGTCACCTTCCGGTTTCTCTCGTCGATCGTGCGACATTTCCTCGCGAGATCACGCGACCCGAGAACGTTCGACGATACGTCCTTTCGATTCCACGATCGATTTTTTTATCCACGGCCTGCTATAATCGTCGACGAAGCTCGTACGAATAGACGCGGCTGCAAAACCGAAGCTTATAAGAAAGAAAAAAGAAAAAAGAGAAAGAAGAAGATATATGCGATCAGTGAAAAAGAAACTATTCGGATGATCAGTTACACGTATTTACAGGGTCACACGGTCGATTTTTAAGAAGATCGATCGTGGAATGGGAACGATGTTAAGATCGATTCGTTAAAAAAAAAAAAAAAAAAAAAAAAAAAAAAGAAAAGACGAAAATCGAAAGAATCGCGGTTTCCTTTTTCTTCTTTATCGGAGAGCACAGAAAATGGAAACACAAGTGGCGAAACGATACGTCGTGTAAGATTCGACGAGAAAAAGAGCGGCCGGCGGCGAGGAAGTTTTTCAGTTTTCTATAACTGTCGTTGAGTTTGTATGAAATATGTTGAATACGACTATACTTATTGGTATAACCCTATTGGTTATTTCTATTGCTATTGCGATTATTATCTATTATTATTATTATTATTATTATTATTATTATTATTATTATTATTATTATTAATGCAATGATTGAAAGGGCGTTTATTATTATTATTATAATTATTATTGCATTATGAATATTATTATTAATATTGTCACTATTATCGTGGTTCACATTTATCGCCGATTGAATATTTTGTGAATTTGTTCCGAGCTACATTTTCATTGACTATTAATTAATAACGGATACTAATTGATAACGATAGCGACTAATTCTTGTGAGAGATTGCCATGTGTATATCTTATATGTACTCACTTACGGGGCCCGTGGCCCTCCGATGGGGCCGGAAGAGGCCGTGCAACCAGCGTGGCCGCGCGGTCAACCCCGTAAACGCCGGCTCAAGAACCCCGACGATGTTGGCGCCGCGCGCGATCCGTTCCTCTGCGTGCGAGAGCAATTTTTTTTCGAGAGCGATCGTGGTCTGTGTCTGTCGCAAGGTACTCGATCGCGATACTTATAAAAAAAAAAAATAATAACGTTTCTCTCCTCGCGCCTCGCGCCTCGCCCCTTTTTTTGTAAAACTCGCGGAGACGCGGGGAGACCCACTTGACGAGAAACGGTAAAAAGAAAAAAAAAAGAGGAAACGATACCGACGGCTTCGATCGAATACAAACCAGGATAAACGAGAAAAATAAGACAAGAGAGCAAGCAAAAAAAAAAAGGTGGAGGTAAAGGAGAGAAAAACGATAACCGGAGAGAGAAAAATGTGGAAGGGCGCGCGAGCATGCAAACAGACGTGCGTTTCTCGTACTTGCTGGCGAAGATGCGCAAGAGAGACGTACCGAGTGTCGTTGTTTTTTAATCATTTGGCAATCGTTTCTGATTTTCGAGCGAAGTTTTCAAGCAAGGATTTATTTTTCTTCGTTGTCGAGTTTGCGTTCTTCTGTGATGCCTGTCACGTTCGATCGCGCGACAATTTTCACGTTCCTACCAAATCGACCTTGTCCGATTTCTTTCGTCGCGTATCAGCGACCATCACCCTTCGTTAATCTCCGATTAATCGTCGATCGATTAACTAGAAATATAAAAGCCGCGTAAACTCGGGAATCACGATGTAGGCCGAGGAACGATAAGAAACGAAGGCGAAACGCGGCCGAGAGAGATGGAGACATCGCGTACGTTCTTTCTTGTTCATCTCGTCCACCCACGCTCGCCCTTGTGTACAAATATATATTTATGGTGCCATATGTGTTATGTGCGCGCGAACAAGATCCCGTGTTCGCGCACGCATCTAGATTTTATAATAGAGAAAAGAAAATGATGAAAAAAAAGAGAGAGAATAAAAGGAATAAGAGTTGAGCGAGCGAGAGAGAAAATGCGACATGCAAGCGCGAAAACGTATCGACATACGAGCACACATATACATACACGAGCACATGACAATTCATATTTACATGCATACACGCGTTACATGTACACATACATACATACACACACACAAACACGCAAACACACACACACACACACTTACATGCATACACATATTATATACATACATGCATACATACATGCATACATACATACATACATACGTATATACATACATGCATACGTACATACATACATGCATACGTACATACATACATGCATACGTACATACATACATACATACGTACATACACACACACGTGCCATGCAAGATGGCTGTACCTGTATACGTATATAAATATACGCGAGCATACAGTGATGCACATATTTACGTGCGCTATTCCTATAAAGAGTAATTGAAGAGAGAGAACAAAAAGAAAAAAAAATAGGAATTTAAGAGTGAGGCGAGGGAGATCTGCGATCTGGCATCAACATCGTACGGCAAAATGGGTGCGGTGCAATCATGTTCCTATTAGGTTTCATATCTAAGCGAGTAATTAATTATACCACTAAATATAAATGATAAAGAAGGATATAATGATATTATATATATATTATTGGATATATATATATACATACGATACGATTATATATAGATCTAGTCTGTGAAACTGATGAATAATCCCCTTCCTATAATCCTTTTCTTAAATAGATAAAAGCTGAAACGTCTTTTCCCCTGATCGATCTCTCGTTTCTTTCTCGCGTCTGCATGGAAAATCAGAGAACGAAATTCACGCGCGTACTTCTCACATTAACGTTCTTTCGTAAGTTGAATCGTTCGTTTAACTACAGAGACACTTCTTCCGCTTAGGGGTGAGAAGCGAGATGTTACGTTCTCTTCCGTTCTTTCTTTGCCTTTTATTTTGTTATCGAATTGCCATTAACCGAACGTCTAGTGAAAAGAGTTCTCAATTTCTGATTTTCGAAGATTTTCAATCTTTGCTCCGATATAATAAAATGGCTACGCCAAAGCGAATACTGACACATTCGGGATCCACGCGATACCGTGCTTCTTGGAAATAAATTCATATTACTCGATCATTTATCGATGAGAGTCTATCAACGAAATGATATTGTACGAAAGTGAAGCAATAAGAAAAAGGAGTATAAAAGTTAACCATGATATGCATCGATTTGTTTAATTGCATCTGGATCTCGAATGTGTTAAATCTCGAGTCGAATATTTTCTTACGAGAAAAGAGAATCGCAACGTCCCGAAAGAAATCGTTAAAACGCCGTGGCAAGGTGAAAAGAAGAAAAGAAGAGGAAAAAGGGTACGAGTAAGAAAAAATAAAGACCTTCGAAAAAAGAAAAACGAGGAGGGAAAGTAAACGAAAACATTTGATTCCTAACGTTTCGCCCATCGATGGTGTCTTCTAAAGTAACTCCGTGTTCGTGTTACTCCGGTAGGTTTTGCCGCGAGAAAAATAAACTGCAGGACACGCAGTATCTTTCTGCAAAAATATCTTTCTCCGAAAATAGCTTGTTTTGATCTTGTTTTTCCATCGTCGCTTTATTTTTCCGGGGTCTTTCTACCAATTTACTGACTTCAAATACTTCAAATACTATTCCCTCCCCTTTCTGATTGGTGAAAAAACTCGCTTCCTGTCCAGCATGCATCAACGGTGAACGTCTTCGTCGTTTCACCAAAAGTGAAAATTCGTTCTGCCTCAACGAGTTACTTTTTATCCAACGGAAGTTTTGACACGGAGCTTTCACCGAACACGATTACCAACATCGTTTTACGACGAAACAAAAATTTCCTTCTGCGTACAGTACGATATATATCGTTTATTTAGCGGTCCCCTTTTACAGTTATTATTTATTTCGCAAAATTTCCAACGCTTCCATGAAATTTTTCTACGAAATTAAAACGCTAGAATTCTTTATACAATTGTTTCCTTCGAACCGTTCTATGAAACTAAAACACTGGGATTTCACGTAATACTACCGTATCCTGTCCCTTGTTATTTTAGGACGTAGCAAGTTACCTTTCTTTAAGTTTTTCTTTCGTTTTTCCCAGATATTTATTACTCTATCGAGAAACATGTTGAATTAAAAGAAGATATTTCGCTCGAGGCTCGAACGAGTCTGAAATTCGATTCAATTCGATTAACCAATTTCGAATAACACTTAAAATATCGATATGAGAAACTAGGAATATCGTTAAGAGAAAAGGATAAGGATGTAAAGATATAAAAATATTTAGTATAAAATACAAGTTTCGCAAAACTTTCGGAAACTCCTCCGCCAATTGTACCGTGCGCTATCGCGGATGAACGAATCACCGAGCGCGAATATCATTCTATTATGCGGGATTTCATTTTATTTCCGGTCCACAGAGCGTCCCATTTCCGAGTTCCAATATTAGCTCACCTGCTAATTTGCATAGGGACGGAAAACACGGCCGCTTAAGCGAGCGATGTCGCGTGATAACGCGACATCGGTAACGCTCGTACCACGATGACCCGATGCAATTTTTCAATGACGCCATTACGGATTTCCATTCGGTGTCGAAGCGTTCCGAACAATCGCCGTGACAGTCTCCAGTCACTGTCGATACGATCGAATTTATTAATTTCGTGATTTCGCGCAATTGCTGAACAGAACTGGCAAATTCCTACGCGATTTCCAGGTTATTCTTCTCGAGACTAAGAACAGATACCTATATTTATTGGAATCCTACTTCGAAATCAAGTACTTTTCCTTTTCTTCTTTTTTTCCTTGTGCTTGAAATATATTACTCTAGTATAAAATACTAAAACTTATCTTTTACGCTTCAAACGAGGAGGATTCATTCTACTATGATATATTTCCACATGTTCCATTAAATGGTAAGTATTACCTGTAAAAAATTCGATGTTTCTCGAACGACTTCGTTGCACGAGACTCGCGTCCGTCGTTGGTCGCAGAGCTCTATCGTTAAAGGCTCCTCGAAAGGTGCATTTGTGAAACTTTTGATGACACAGACGTCGAGGTAAGTACGAGTTTCAAATATTTCGAATATTCTAAACCTTTGATCACGCAAGTAAAAATTCTATAATTTTCTAAGGGATCGAATATGTTAAGTTTTAGGGTGATCTGCTTATCAGGTTTATCGTTACACGCGAGTTACATTTGGATTTCGCTCGTAAAATAAAACAACGATAAAATAAACCATAATACCATCTCAATAAAAACAAATCACGGAAAAATGAATATAATAAAATTTCTATCTGGTTCTTACGTTCGATTCGTATATTATAATTTTATACCATTTAATACCAGACATTTTTTTCGACTATATCATTGTCACGACACATCAGTAAATACTGAGAAATTATTTTAAGAAATTCTGAAACATAAAACATTCGCATCTAATAAAACAATTACTACGATCGAACTTTCCACCGTCGTAAAACCACGTCCGTCGTAGATATTTGTCAAAACAATTCTTCCAAAAAGATACAAGTTTCCAAATAGAAAGCCATCTTTTTTCATTCTATTAAGAAAAAATTCGCATGAATTCGAAGAAAAACGAGCTCGATACAGCCCTATACGCGAGGCAAACGAGGAAACTCACGTGGCATTCGCGACGAATCAAGAGCGTTTCGAGAGAACGAAGCAACTCGTCCGGAAGAGGATGAGAGAAGAAGGATCTCGAAAGGTCTTGGAAAGAGTGTTTGCTCGCGAAATGGAACGCAAATTAGGTTTAGACGGGATCGAAGCTCCGTCGTATCGAAATAAAGGCGACACGTAAAATATATGCGACCCACCCTCGCCATCCGTAACCTTTGGGAAGCTGGCTGGGACGCGAGAGCATCGTTCAGCTCTATCTACGTCTCAGCCAACCCCGATTCAACCCCCGTCTCTGAGAAACCCCCAAAGCGTCTTCACGACGCGATTTCGTCTCGAATGCTAAGTTCGTACCGCGTCTGGTCTTTTGCGAAATTGCCATAGGCGACCGACTTGAAAATTTAAATATCGTATCTTTGCCTGCCAAATGGGAATACGTAGAGTAGAAATGGAAGGGTTGAAAGTAATAATCTCGCTATGGAATAGGATTTTCTATAAATTATCGGAGCTACGATAAAACTGTTTATATTCCAACATTA